TCCTCATGTTTTCTCTCTGTAAGTTCTTTTTTCATTCTGTTTCCATAGCTTCACCCACTAGCTGTTTACCTGGCCCCTCTCCTAAGTTCCAGTCATGAATTTTTTAACTGCTTGATAGAACTCTTTAATTGTCTCATGGCTCCTCAAATTCAGCACATCCAATTGAATTAATCATTTCCTTTTCAGGCTGACATAATTTACCGGTATCTCTTATTTCTCTCCTTAAAAATCCTTCTGGTTACTGAGGGTCTGGCTACCTGGGACTCCCCTTGTTTCCTCTGTCTCCTCTCTTCTTTCTGTTCTCCCTCCTGCCCTCCATCCCTGCTTGGTAGACTCAGAATCACAGTGCTACTTTTTGAGAGATTATTTCCCCCAAATAAATTCAAATTAATTTGGCCCACCTCACTTAATATGGTGTTATTTATAAAATCATTTATGTTGCTATTTTTGATGTTTTATCCATTATGTGAAAAACAGTAAAGAACACAAACCCATCATTTCTGTGAAAATGGTAGGTAAATTGAAGATTTTATTTATGTACCTTTGTGTCAGCACTATTTATAGTTCATAATTGTATATGTGAAGTTCTCCTGAGTGTAAGGTTTTAATGCAATTTTTTGTGTGTAGACAAAATGCCATACCAACAATTTACTTATTTCTCTGGAACTGATGTACTTAAATAAAATACAGATGTTCCCCCACGTTTAGAAAGCTTGCTTTATGCCACTTCACTTTTTACAAAAGACCCGTGTTCGTACTTATTTTTACTAACTGAAAGAAATCCAAAGAGAAATTTTGCTTTTACGAAAAACAGTGAAAAGCAAAAATAGCATTCAGCATTTGTTTTGCAATGAGCCATTCATTATAGAGGCAGTGCACACCCCAGGCAGGGAGAGCGGCACCAGCAAGCTCCTCTCCTGGGAACTACACTCAGCATCTCAGCATCGAGCCGCCATAATTTTGAACTGTGTCTGAGCGTCTGTGCTTTGATCTCATCTCGATTTATTCTGTGCATTTGTTAGCATGATGTGTCCCAAGTTGATAGCTTCTTCACTTTACGCCATTTCAGCTTACAAACGGTTTTATAGGAACTCTCTACTTTCAGATAGTGGGGGAAACCTGTATGTGTATTCTACTTTGGTTTCCTATTGCTTCCAGAAATTAATATAATCATAAACCCAATTTCACTTAAGTCTATTGATTGAACTATAAATAATAATAAATACTTATTTAGTTTTAATTTGAATTGTATTTTAGAGATTACCAACAAATACTTTCAAAAATAGAGCTATCAGAACATGATGAGGAAGATAAACTTCATTTTAGGTGGACCTATCTTTATTTTAAAATATTACTCAGTGCATTCTGGAAAAATCTTTGTTTTTCTTTAATGTAGTTGTTTGTATTATAGTGGAAACTAGCATTTACTAGATTTACTGCTAAATCTTCAACTTTGAGGTGGAATTCTGATAAACACCCACAGGAAAAATTTTAAGATGCCTGCATGCTTTTGCATTGTTAAAAAGACACCCACACCAATACTTAGCCTTGGAAAAAGTAGCCTATTACATATACACATCTTTAGTTTTGTTTTGTTTTTTCTTAACTGAGATGGGAAAACTTTTTGTGTATATTATAGACATTATATTTTCTTGTAATACTTGGAGGTTATATGATATTTTAAAATTTACAAAAGAAATAAATTAACTGAAGAGCACTAAATATCCTATAGTGAGAACTAAGGAAGTTCTTTCTACTTTAGAGTTAATTAACAGGCAAACATTTTTGTTCTGGCTTTTATTTAAATAATTGAACAGTTGAGTCATCAGTCCTTATGAGGAATCCTTTTTTTTTAAATTTGGCATCACTGATGCACTACCATCTAGAACACATCCCACAGTGGAAGTAAAGCCAAAGTGCATTGCTTTTGTGATTGAGCTATATACAGGCCCCTGGTCACAATTATTTTTTTTCTGTTTATTCATATTTCTAGCAAGTTTAATGGATACTGGTTTCAATGTTTATACCAGATTCTAAGCGAGGAAAGATAACAATAGGCAGACACATTGACTTGAATTAGGAGTAACAGCCTGTAGTCTGATACAAAAGAAGAGATGAGAAAAATGATCACAAGTAGTCATTTCAAAAAGTATTCATGACCTAGCAATTCCATTCCTAGGTATATGCCCGAGATAAATAAAACTCATGTCCACACAAAAACTTGTAGATAAATGTTCACAGCAGCATTATTCATAATAGCCAAAACGTGGAGTCAGCCCAGATGTTCATCAGTAGCTGAGGGGATAAACAAAATATGGTACACCCATACTGCGGAATATTATTTAGCAATAAAAAGGAGTGACACACTGAATCATGCTATAACATGGATGAGGCTTGAAAATGTTTTGCTTGGGCCGGCCGAGTGGCTCAGTTGGTTAAGAGCTCGCTCAAGAGTTTGAGCTCTGAGCAACAGCGGTTCGAGTCTGGCCTGAGCTGAGCTGCCGCTGAGCTGCCAACAGGTGACAGGATGGCTCAGTTAAAAAAAAAAAAAAGAAGAAAAGAAAATGTTTTGCTAAGTGAACGAAGCCACATACAGAGGCCACATATTGTATGGTTCATTATTCCATTTATATGAAATGTCAGAATAGCAAATCCATAGTGACAGAAAGTTTATAAGTGATTGCCAGGAGCTGGAGGAAAGAGGAAATGGGGAGTGACTGCTAAGTGGTGTGAAGCTTCCTTTGGGAATGATAAAAATGTTCTAAAATTGATTGTGGTGATAATTGCACAACTTTGTGAATATACTAAAAATCAATGATTTGTACACTTACATGGGTGAGTTGTGTGGTATGTGAATTATATCTCAAATAAAGCTGTTTAAAAAGCATAGCATATTGGGGTAATTCAAAATATTTATGGGAGTGGTTAGTTCTTTATACCATAACCCTGGGGCATCTCTCTTAAAAGTCCAGTAATCACTGATACAATAGATAGTAGTTTTGAAACTGTATTGAAAGGGAAATTGTTATAATTCATTTCTTTTAGGATCTGTTTTCAATTTGTGAGCTATCAGAAATGGCTAACATTAAAGTTCATTTTCAAGGCCTTAGTGACCTTTGAATGACTTATTTTCCATGTGTTTCACATAGTTGAAGTTATAGCTGTGTCTGTTAATGGACACGTGGGGATTAGTTGAAAATTTGATTGTTTTTCTCTTAACACCATTAAAAAGACTAGGTAAAATAATTTTCAAAAGATATACTTAAAGATATTATTGCATCTAACTTTTTTTTTAAAGATTTTTATTGGGGAATTGGGGGAGGGGAACAGTGCTGGGGAATCGGGGGAAGGGGAACAGACAAGTTGCTGTTCTTTTGCTCTTCAGTCTAGTTGTGGAGGACGTTGCTTCACTGGCCCAAGTTGGCATCATCATTGCGCTCTTCCCTGGTGAGGCAGATCGGTCGCCGGCATCTGGACGGCCACTCACGGCGGCTCTTGGCAGCTCATACCAGCTGCCGGCCGCTGATGCTGGCTGCCAGCCACTCACAGTAGCTTATGGTAGCCCACTGCAGCAGGGGCTGAAGCCTATGCTGTTGCCGGCAACTCACAGCAGCCCAGCCCCACATCGAGCTTTTGTTCACCATCTTAGCTGTAGAGGGCGCAGTGTCACTGGCCCTCATGTGGGGTCCAAACCAGGGTCCTGCTGCTCAGAGCTGGTGTCCCAAACCAGCTCTTAACCAATGTGCCACTCGGCCAGCCCTGCATCTAACTTATTATAATGTGTCTTCTATTGCTTAAAAATCTAAAAATTAGCAGTAGTTAAGTTATGTAAATGTGGAATCCAAGAGCTAATCTAGGTTGATAGTACTTTGAAAAAACATATAGCAATAATGCATTAAACAAAACTAAATCTACCTAGCTAACAGATATTGTTCAAGGAAAATAGGGAAGTTTGGATTATGACAGATTTTGCTCTGTGGTAACATAGAACTTGCTACAGCTCATTTCTATGAAAAAAGTTAATATTCAGAATTCACTGGAAGGTGTGAACCACTGAAAATGGTTTTTAAAAAAGTACTGTAGGAAATTTAGATTGCAATTTTCAGGATTAAATGATAATCAATATAGTTGGCTCTTCTGCGTTTTTGTTCCCTACTGTTGAGGATATGGGTAGAGAAAGAACTATGGGGATAGTGTTAGGGACATGATTCTAGATCTAGAACATTTTCTGCCTCCCAGCACCTCCCTCCACCCTTTGTGACCTGTTTAAGGCACTGGTACTGGTTTGGAAATTTTCACCTGCCTTGGATCTGTTGGGACTGAACAAAAGTTGAGAACCAGGGAGAGAGGGAGAGAACAAAAAACTAATAAGAATTATAGAATCAGACATGAAATGTAAAAACAAGAAGCAAACACTAGTTATGGAAATTAATTGTGCCAACCAGTTCATGTCTGAACCAGAGAAAAACTACAAAGGGAAAAATGAAGAGCACTGAGTGACTGAGTGAAGATAAGGGAGGAGTTATGAGTGAATCTTGGGGTCTGTGGGAATCCTGCTGTCATGGGCTGTAAAGGGAAAATGGTTCATTGGCAATGAGGGATTTTCAATGGTTAACGTTGAAATTTCAGATGTGGAAAGGATGCCAGCTAGGCAGTGTGAGGTGGCTGGAGAGACACAGGTATGACTCGAGTGACCTAGCTTAGCAAACAGTATTCATTGTGTTCTCCAGATACCACCAAAGTGTAATGAAAATCTGAAATGATTGAAATGGGTTTACTGCCATGATTAGGTTTAAATTTTTAAAACTCAATAATTAAGTTTTCTTCCACTTTATTGCTTTACATTTTCCTCAGGTAAAAAATTCAGGAACCGTTCATTCTGGGAAATCTGTACCATGTCCTTATAAACATGGTTAAGTGCATTTAGTGATGCTTGTTTTTATCAGGTGATTTTGAACTTTAAATAATTCTAAATAACTCACATTTCCTTTTATAACCAGGAACCTTTTGAGGATGGCTTTGCAAATGGGGAAGAAAGTACTCCCACCAGAGATGCTGTGGTCACGTATACGGCGGAAAGTAAAGGAGTCGTGAAGTTCGGCTGGATCAAGGGTGTATTAGTATGTACCCAGAGACTTACTTTTAGAGTCAATCAAATTATACTGAACTACCTCTATACTGTGTTTCATTGCCTCTTGTACATTTCATATATTGTCACTTTTCAGTAAGTATGAAGCTGTTAACTTGATGACAGCATCAGAATCAAGAAAGTGGAGCAGGCGATAGAGCTGAAATATGCCTGCTTCCTTTCCTGCTACCCCAGTATCTTTGAAGAGACATGTATAGAAGTTAACAGGCAACAGAAATCCTTTTCTTAATGTTGACGTTTCTTCATTTTTAGGTGATTAAGGTTCCAATTTACTTCTGTTTTCTGTATTCAGATAGGTACTAAGGATCTGACTAGACAGGCCGGAAGCACTAAATTGGAGTTGTATTGACACCTAGGGGAGAGGTAGAGGGGAAAGCCCGGGTCTAGTAGTGATTTCATTGCCTAGTCAATAGTAAATGTGAAGCTCCAGATAGTTTAGCTTGCCTGTCCTTAGATTTTAGTATTTTAGAAGATTATGTTCTATGTATCAGCATAATAAATAAAAATGGGGAAAATGTCTCACAAATAGTTTTTGAAAGATATGTGAACAGTTGGCATTTTGTATTGACAGATATTATGTAATACTTAAATCTCTTGTAGAAATCCTGACATGAGGCTGTTATAAAAGAATAAACAAAAATTAAGCTTACTTCCATTGGTAAAGGGGAACATGAACTACTGTTTTTTAGGGTTGAAGTCTTAAAGTATTCCTCGTACCTTTCTTGTTCAGTTGATCCTGCTGCTTCAGAAAATTGTGATGGGGCTGTGTGTGAATACACACACATATATACATACTCACATATTACATTATACTTACATTAGCTCACACTTAAGCTCTTAGAAAACTGTTAAAGGGTGGGATAAGCGTTACGTTTAAAATGACTTTCTGTAGTTTTAAATATGTGTTATACTGCTTTGGGCTAGTTTAGCATTTATTGCTGTATTATACTTGATCATTTTCCTCATTTGTGCCTTGGCCTCTTCCTGTCTTAGGTACGTTGTATGTTAAACATCTGGGGTGTGATGCTCTTCATTAGACTGTCATGGATTGTAGGTCAAGCTGGAATAGGTAAGTGAAGTTCAGACTGCTTGATTCATTTGAGAGTGAATAAGCAAACTAGCCGTGTTTGTGTCTAGGCTCTGAACCTCATAATACAAGCAATTGGAATCATTCAAAGCTGTGTTCTCCTTAGTATAAGATTGTTGCTTTAATGTCATTTTTAAAATAATTCTGATTTGATATTTTTTATAAATGGGATAAAAAAGGGTAATTCATAAGTTATAATGTAAACGCAGTATAGTTGGACTACCAGTTGTAAAATGGCAGGTTAAAATAAAGATGTAAGCATTCTCAGTCTCTCTTCTTTTTCCTTAAAGGTCTGTCAGTCGTCGTAATAATGATGGCCACTGTTGTGACAACGATCACGGGACTGTCTACTTCTGCAATAGCCACTAATGGATTTGTACGAGGAGGTAAATTCAGTCTTTCACATCATTGTCATCAGATTACTGTTACTAAAAACGTGACATTTAAATCTTATTTTTTACCTTTCAAAAGCAGTGTATCAGGTGAAAAAGGTTGCTACAGAGCACTTTCAAACAAGTCTATTTGAATATAAAATGTTATATTGACCCATACACAAACATGTACACTTTAAATTGTTTAGGGTGTTCATTGTATTTCGGCGCAAGAATGGAGCCTCTGACTGGTTTCTTCCCTGGGCGGCCCTTGTTGCCTCCTCTCGGGCTTCGGCCTGGTCAGTTGCATCATCCTGCGTTCAGTCAGCATTGCGCAGGTGTCACCTCATTCCTCCCACGGAGGGAGACAGGCAGAACTCTTTCCCCATGACCTAACAGCTTTTGTGAGTTACACCTGGGACCCTGAATCCATACCCTCTAGTTGAGCTCTCTTCTGTGGGTGCCCTGAGGCCTTTTTCGTTGACTTTAAGGTTTGCCTTGTGAGATTTTTACCCTCCCATGGAGATCACACAGGACACCAGGAGAATGGTCTTGGGACACCTGAGAACAAGAAGAAAATAATTGTGTGGGCCGGCTGAGTGGCGCGTTTGCTAGGAGCTGGCTTGGGATGGCAGCTCTGAGCAGCAGGGCCCCAGTTCGGGTCCCACATGAGGAGGGCCAGTGATGCTGTGCCCTCTACAGCTAAGATGGTGAACAACAGCTCGACCTGGAGCTGGGCGGCCAGCGACAGCGTAGACTCCAGTGGGCTGCCGTAGGCTACCATGAGCAGCCATCCAGTGATCAGCGACCAGTCTGCCTCACCCGGGAAGAGTGCAATGATAATACCCACATGGGCCAGTGAAGCGACGTCCTCCACAACTAGACTGAAGAACAAAAAGGACAGCAACTTGTCTGTTCCCCTTCCCCGATTCCCCAACGCTGTTCCCATCCCCAAATTCCCCAATAAAATCTTTAAAAAAAAAGGAATTGCGTTTTTCAAACCAAAACTCATCAGTCAGCTAGAACAACGAGGAGAAGATCCCTAGAAAAGAGAGAAGGCCAGTACCAGCTTCTGTAAAGTCATCCTAGCAAATCAACTAAGAATCAGCCTGTTCCACCTGCCTCAACTGTTTTTAGATTTGTATTGGACGTTACATACAGTTTCTGATTTATCTGCATCAGGTATTTGGAGAGAGAAAGTGAACCAGATGGAGCTTTTCATGTTTTCCATCTTCTTCATGTTTCTTATATGCTATAGAGGATTCAGATCACATGGCCCTGAAGAAAAGCGGGTCACTCATATCAGTGTGATTATGACTATGCCGAACATGCATCACTCTCTGTTGAAGTTTCACGTGTACACGAATCTGGACTGAGTTACACTGGGGTGTAAGAGGGGGATATTCATATGTCTAACTGAGTTTCCAGACAACACTGAAAGGTTCTTTTTTTGACTAATTATGATCTAGGTGCCCTGTGCTTCATTTCTTTCTGCTACTGTTGGGGAATGGAAATGGCAGGAGAAATGGGATGGGGTGTTTGGTATTTGAGAGAATCAGAGAATCATGAAAGAATTTCTCCTTATCTTCAGCCTTTTGAATCTAGGTTGTAAGCCTCAAGGGGAATGGGACATGAAGCCACTGGCAGCATGAACCCCAGACTATTCTCCATGTGAATTCAAACTGATGGGAAATATAGATTTTCCTGCATTATGACTAAAAACCCATTTCATCTTTCAGTACTACCAGTAGTTTTCATATATCTGCACTAATACATGTACCCCAGCAACTTGGTGTCTAGCCTCTGTCCTGGGATACTAAGGGAAGTATGAGAATGTGGAATGCGTGAAGATGTGTCTCAACAAATTATCATATGTTGCAGTTTTGCCCGAACTCCCTCATAATGATCACAAAGGAAGAAACTATAGGAAAAAAACCCATTGGATCATACAGTCCCAAATTCTTCTGTTATTATCAGATATTCATACATATGAGAAAGCAGATATTTGCTTAAATAATGGAACCTGAAGAAAAAAGGGAAAGGTATTAATTTAATAAGAAATAACCAAATACTTTGAAGCTTTGCTAGAAGGCAGTTGTTTTTCCCTTGTCATTTGGTGACTTTGGACACCTGGCTGATCCTGTACAGAATATAAACGCGCTGCATCATCTGCGTTGAACATTTCCTGGGGATTCTTTCAGTGAATGGAAGCCTCTTCGGTCTCCTCTGTTATCTGCTTCATGGACTTGGACACTCCTAACAGGATTTATTTTGGTTTCCTGAGAAAACTGTCTTTTCCACATGGGAGAAAGTAGATACAGGTATAAAAATTGATGAGATTACATTGCACCCTGTATTCATGATTCTAAATTGAAAGTATCAGATTAGTATGACTCAGATTTTTATCCCAAAAGTACACACTTCTTAGTTCTTGTGATTTAGACTCCACAAAAATCACCTGTAGCAAATGATCAACCCAGAAACAAGGAGCACCCTTAGTGTCCACGTTGTGTATTTCCATTCAAAGGAACCAGGGAATTTTGGAGAAAAGGTTGATTCCAGATCTGGGCAGGAAATGGACTAGAGGAGGCTAGACATCTTCTTACATCGGAAAGTAAAGAAGGTAACAAAGGCTACTAGTTTCATGACAGAAAGACCAGGAGCCAACGTGAAGAAGCTGATACTGACTGAAGTTTGAACAGTAATACTACTGCTAATAAGAACTGATTTGAATGAAAACATATGGTAAGATCCATAAGTTCACAGGTCTCACAAAAACTCTCATTTTTCACCTTTGAAGAATGCTAAGGAATGCTATGAAAATTGAAAAATAAAGGTAAAGAATCTAATGTTGAATAAAGCTTTCATGAATGAAAGTTTCTTTACCTGAACTCAGTACAAGAAATTAATAAGAAATTTGTTCTTTAGATGATTATTCTATGTAGTAAGTGAAGAAGGAAAGAGAATTAGAATATTCCAACTTTGTAAATACTTGACTTAATAAGAGTACCTGTGAAGTATTGTTTCCCAACAAATTGACTCCGAATCGCCTCATGCCTGTAGCTCCAGGAAGCATTTTATAGAATATGTAGGGGAGAGAGGAACTTATTAAATGACACTATCGAGAGATTCTAGCAAATTCCAGACTGCGAGTATCTCTGGAACAAGAAGTTTTTCTTCAACAAAATTTTCCAAGGTCCAAAAATATAGGGAGGTATGGTTGCAAACAAATTTTCAGAGACTTAAGGTGTAGATGTGATTTTGTTGCTGTTCTTAACAATAAACTACCATATACCAGAAGCGATATGTGACATGGAGCATTGTCACCTTCTCTCGACCGTAGCTCACACCTGACTGACTGCACCAAACAAGTTGAAACTTGTCACACACTGTTATTAAGGTTCGATGTGCCACTTCCCATATTGAAGATCCCTGCCTTTCTGTTGGATGGCACTTGGCAGCAACTTTCACCACAGTTTTTGATCAGAAAGGCTCTGTGTCACATATTGCTTCTGGTATGGCAATTTCAGTCAAATAAAAACATTACAGTGTGGGGCTGGTTGAGTGACGCGTTGTTTAGGAGTTGGCTTGGGACGCCAGCTCTGAGCAGCAGGGCCCCGGTTCGGATCCCACATTAGGGCCAGTGACGCTGCGCCCTCTACAGCTAAGATTGTGAACAACAGCTCGACCTGGAGCTGGGCTGCCATGCGTTGCCGGCGATGGCATAGGCTACAGTGGGCTGCCGTGAGCTACCGTGAGTAGCTGGCAGTCAGCGTGAGCAGCCGACAGCTGACATGAGCTGCCAAGAGCCACCGTGAGCGGTCATCCAATGGCCAGCAACCGATCTGCATCACCTGGGAAGAGTGCAATGATAATACCAACTAGGCCAGTGAAGTGACGTCCTCCACAGCTAGACTGAAGAACAAAAGGACAGCAACTTGTCTGTTTCCCTTCCCTGATTCCCCAATGCTGTTCCCCTCCCCCAATTCTCCAATAAAATCTTTAAAAAAACAAACAAACACACAAAAACGTTACAATGTGTCCTCATCTACCTTATTTACTATATCTGGCACTGTGTGACTTCTGGCTCTTCCCCAAAGTCAAAATGACAATGAAAGGTAAACATTTTGAACGGATTCAAGACATTGAGGCAGCTACAACAACACAACTAAAGACACTCACAAAAGAGGACTTCGGAACTGCTTCAGAAAGTGGCAAGAATAATGGGATAAGTGTGTTCAAAGTGAGGGTGAGTATTTTAATGGCACTGTGTCTTTTACTATAATAACATTTTTAAAATTTAAACATTCACTGTATTATTTGATCATACTTCATAGTTTTGGGGTTTTTTTAAACACGAATTAACTGCCAACTTGTAAATAAATGTTAATGTCCAATTATGAAGTCTGGGATAAAAATAATATGGAAACAATTCAGTGTTTCTGAAAAAAAAAAGAGTCAAAACTTAGAATTTTAAAGATGCCTAGTTTCAGCCTTGATTAGATTTTAGTAATGATTTTGGGGTACTGTTTGAAGTTCCTAGTAGCAGGTTAGAGAATCATTCCCTTGGTTCTCTGCCTGCACACAGTAAGAGTAACAGTGTCAAGTAACTGCAGCCACCCCTTCACCTTCACCTTCATCTGTGACATCGTTCCTGCCCCAGCACAGTCTTGTTCTATAGATTGATGCAGATCCCATCAGTGTTTTTGAGAGCTGGGATTTTACAGTTTACTTGGGCTGTGTGCAACAGGTTCTGCAACTTCGTTGGCACTGGCCAGCCGCCACTCTCACTTAAACCTGCATTTCCTAGATTTACAGGCCAGGGTTCTTCCATTCTCAGAAATCTGTGTCTAGGGACTCACGTACAAAATAGAGGACAACCACAGTCAGCTTTTTATAAGATGAAAGTGAAAATTCTGGTTTTTGAATCATATTGTACTATATGAACTGAGCATTATAAAAGGGAAAAAGTTGCTCTACTACTTTTTGTTTTGGAGCATTAAGTCAAAAGCAGA